GCCCGGGCCCTGCCACCTCCCACGTGGGTGTGATTCGGGGAAGGACACTGACCCTGGAGCATTTCAATAAAAGCTAAGCCGAGCAAGGCCTTTCTCTCACTCCGCCTTTTTACCGTGTCTTAGCTGGAGTTTGTAAGTTTGGTGGGAAAACAGCTACCACTCCAGAGGTAAATTAGGGACGGGGGTTCGATTGAGATTAAATAGACACACTTTACCCGGTTCCTCCAATGAAGTGCCATATACATGTAAGTACTTCCACTGTATCAAGGCACGCTCCTGGTGAATTCTTAATCGGGTTTCCCTCCTGTCCCAGCGCTTCCCGGCGGGACTGCGGAGCTGGTGACAGCAAGAAGGGGAGGGGGCAGCATAGGAATTCGGTTCTGCGTTTTCCTTTTCCTTTTTCTTTTTCTCTTTCTTTCTTTCTTTCTTTCTTTCTTTCTTTCTTTCTTTCTTTCTTTCTTTCAGAATCGAAATACGTCGCTGTAAGTTGCACAAAATTTAAGAATGAAACGTAAATGCCTTTGAAACGTGGCTGAGCCCTCTCACTGATCTACAGACACGTGTGATTGGATCTCCGAGGTTCTCAAACTCTCTTCTGATGCGGCACCGTGCCTCTGAAGAGCAAGGCCGGAGGCGAACCGGCACAAGGCCAGAGGGTCCCCGCCACTCCAGTCCTGGACCCTGAGCGGGGACGCGGCTCGGGAGGTGACCTGGGGCTGGGGGCGGGGTGGAGCGGCCGGGCCCTAGGACTCAGGACGGGCTCTTCTCACACTCCAGGCACCGTGTGCCCGGTCAGTGGCCCGGCTCTCCCAGTCCGCCGCCTGACTCCTTAGCTCCTGGCTGCTAACGTGTCCCTCCCGGTCTCCTTTAGTGGGCAGCACAGTTCCCATCGTCTGCACGGATGCCCCGCCTCCGACGTGCTTCCTGAAGTTTCCCCCGAGCAGCAGCCCGAGAATCCTCCCCTCGCCATTTCTCAGCGTCCTGCGGGTTTCTGTCCTCCCATCTCCGGGCCCTTCCCTTCTCCCCGCCCTCCCGGGTCCGCAGCCCCATGTCCCCGCGCTGCGCTGGCCTGTGCGTCCCGAGCCCGGAGCGCCCAGGAAGGGAGGTGGGGCTGCCGGAGACCAGCCGAAGCATCCAAGTTACGGAGACCCGTTTCCGGAGCAGCGAACACCCGAGCGCCTTCGTTCTCCCATCGGCAGCTGTTTGGAAGGAGAAATATTTGCGAGTCCTCGGCCTTTCACGTTCACGGCCGCGCACATCGGCGGCCCGGACACACGCACGCGCACACTCGCGCTGCCTGGGGAGGTCCGGGGCCGCGGGAGCTGCTCTGGGCAAGTGGAAACAGATGAGGAGTTGTCAATTTTTTTGTTTTTGTTTTTTCTTTAAAGTGATTCTGCAGTTTTTGGAAGAACTTAGCTCACCCCGACCCCCACCCCCGACCCCCGTCCCTCCGGCAGGTGCTCCGTGGCTTTCGCATCACCGTTTTACGCGCCGCAGCGCCTCTCGCCTCTCGGGGCTGCGGAGACCGCAGGAGCCGATCTGACCCGGAAGGAGCAGGTAGGTTCCTCGCCGGCAAGAAAACATTACAGGAGGAGGAAGAGTTCCTCGAGTTTTAGGACAATTTACTTTTGTCAGGCAAGCGAGGCTGTAGAGAGCGTCTGTCAGGGGCTGTGTCTCATCTCCTTTCCTAACTTTTAATTCGGTTTGTGCACCCAGAGGGCTCCCCCAGACCACGATTCGGCGGCACGTAGTCACACGCACACGCCAGCCCATTTTCTCCCCGAAGTCTCCCACACATTCTGACACACCTGGGCTGCAGATCCAGAGGTCCGGGGGGATTTTTTTTCTCCTTTGTAAATACTGGAGAGAGTATTTGTTCAATTGGATTGCATTATAAGTAAAAATTACAGTTGAACAGAAAATACATTGCCGACCGAGGGGAAAGATCTTTGCAGCCTCCATAAATGGGAAAATTGTTCTGCAGAATCAGAAAGGGTTCCCACACTCAACGGGTCAAGATAAGCCACTCATTGGGAGAAATGGGTCAGGGCGCAGGCAGGCCCTCCACACATAGGAGCCTGAAAAGCCAAGCAGGCAAAGAGGTCCACATTCACCCGTGACATCATACAGTGCCTAAGATGTCACGGCACCCACTGGATGACACCAAAGGCGGCCCAGGGTGTGCAGAGACAGGGCACCCGCCCCCCCCCCGCCTGCACTCACTTGCTTAGATTGCTGCCAAGAAAGTAGGGAGACACTGGGCAACACCAGAAGAAGCAGGAGATGTCCAGTCCCTGCCTCCCGCCCTTGGAGCCCTTTCCTCATCGTCCACCGCAGAGAAAATGCCAGGCAGGGGCACTGAGGCCCTGAGGCCCTGGCACAGTCCTTGCAGCATTGTTTACAAAGGGCAGGGTTGGGACCGGCCTAAACGGCCATCAGGAGGGGCCCGGATACAGTCTGTGGCATATTTCATGAAACAGAAAGTTCCCCAGGGGGTGGAAGTGAATGAAGTGGGTCTGCTTGTATCAACATGAGTAAGTTCTAAAAGTATAAAGTTGAGTGGGGAAAAAAGTAATAACTTTTAAAAAAGGATGCAGACACCAGGATGCTGACGGAAGAATTTTACAAAAATACAGCATTATGTCTACTCTTTATGGGGTGAGGGTGGTGGCTGCAACAAGGTGAGGGGAGAACGGCCTCCCCTCCTCTGCAGGCCTACTGAGTGCCTGAGAAGGGGGAGGTGGGGGGAGTGACAGTCTATTAATAATATTTCATTCCTGAAAAGCACATCTGATGCACATGTCACAAAAGGTTATTAACTAGGAGTGACAGTCCCGTGGGATAGTACTCTGTCCATCCCTCTCATGTGAAATATTTCACACTTTGAAAATTAAAAATAAGTGTTATCATTTAGAAGAAGTGTCATTGCTTGGAAGTAGAGTGAACTAGTTGAGAAATACTTTCTTTTAAAAAAATAAATAAATAAAACTGATTTCTCAAAAATTCACATTCTTCATCTCCTTCTTTCCTTCTTCAGTCTCCCATCCTTTGAAACATAAGGTCTTGGATTTGCTGTTTAGACCTTTACACAGATTGTCACTGGTGTGGATGTCTTTGGAACGTCACCCAGAATGTGGCAGGGAGAAACAGGCTTCCTGAGCAGGGTGCACCCCACAGGGCCTGAGGCCCCTCATCTGGGACCTGCAGGCTAGCTGCTCATCCCCATGGAAAGTGGAGGCCTGGCCTCTCGCTCTGCCCAGGGTCCTGGCCCTGTCACCGAGGCCACCGGCCACCTGCACGCCTCTGTGGGAGAGGATGCTTTACCCTGGATGGAATTCTGCATCTTCCCCTACACAGAGCAGATGTATTTTGGGAAATTCAAATCAAGATTAGAGAGAGGGGCTGTGAGGAGACAGAAAGATGGGCGAGGCCACAGGGGAAGGACAGCCAACCTGGAAAGGAGAAGGCGGGTAGGATCCAGGCTCGCCTCCCCCACAGCTGGGCTCCAGGCTCCGGCAGGCCCTCAACCTTCACATGCCTCGTCACTCTCAGAATAGAACTCCATGCCTTGCTGGCCCCTCAGCTGCTTCTAGAAATGACTACCTCTCTGCTGTCATTCTCCATTTCAGCCAGAGGGGTTGGGTCTTCCTACACAGATCTGCTCAAAGCCCCTGCAGAGCCGGATAGGCCTTGCAGCCAAGGCCTGCAGCCTGGCTCTGTCAGTGATTACAGACGTGTGGTCTCCACATTTCGCCCTTTTCCTCAACCTGCTCGGAGCCAGGCAGGGAAGAGGCTGCTGCTTCCTGGGAAACACTCCCGTCAGGAGGCGCCCTGTGCCCATGAGGACGAGGGCCGTTCAGGGCTGACATCTGCCCACAGCTGCGGGCTGGCTGCCCTGGCTCTCTTCTCAGCTTCCCTGGCCCTGCTGGTGTCCTGGAGTGATGGTCCTCTGACTCCAGTGCCACCCTGACTCCAGGCCTGGCAAGTCGTGGGCACCAGAAACGTGCTGATTAAATGAATCAATGAATGAGTGAATGGCTTGCTCTTGGCCATTCACCTTTTCCTCTAAAAGGTAAAGCAGGGCTTTGAGAGAGAGAAACAGGACAATCACAGGGCCACTCACTCATATCCCAGCTCTGCTTGCCCCTCAGAGATCCCTCTGCACCTGCGTGTAGCGGGCACTCCAGGCAAATCCAATCATGTCTCGGGGGGCTGGCACTCCAGGGTGAAGCAGGGGCAAGTCTGTAGGTTCAATTTGAAGGCCCAATGGATACGCACACTTAAAATAACATTCAGTTTTGAAAATAAATTCCTGAGTCAGCTATCATCCCCAAGCCTTGCATTCCTTGAGAAAAGTGAGTGTGCGTTTTTTTTT